CCTGCGCCTGCCCTGGGGCCGTGCTGTGACCGTTGGACCGGTGGGGGTTCCTCCTGCGTCCTCTTCCCCAGAGCCTTTTTAGAGGCCCCGATCTGGCACCGGGATGCCGGTTCTGCCCTGCGTGAAGGGGCCTCCCCCCCGCCGGAGGGCGCACCGAGCCAGGGCCGGGAAAGATGCCCTGCTCTGCCGGTCTCTGATCCCGTGGGAAGCGCTGGGGAAGAGGCCTGCCCAGCCGAGGGGATGAGCGGCTGTGGGTGGGCAGGGGGCCCGCTGCCCGTCCCCTGCTGCGCCCAGGGCCCCCGCCTTGCTCCCCGCCTGTTTTGGGGTGGCGAAACCCTCGGGCCTTGCGCAACGCCCGCCCCGGGTGGCTCCCGCCCCTCCCTGCCCTACGCTGCAGATCTGCAGATAGGGAGGGCGGCCCGCCTGGCGCCTCTGCCCAGCCCCGGCTGCCAGGGACTTGTTCGCCTTGGGGGCCGGGCAGACGGGCCCCGCCGGAGGTGGGGCAAGCGGCTGCGCAGCCGCGGGAGGCAGCTGCCTGCACTCGGGCTGCAGCTCTGGGAGCGGGCAGGCGGGTGAGGGAACGCAGCAGCCTTCGTGGGAGCCGGTGAGTCTCGGCTGCGGGGGGCCGAGGGAGGGGGCGTCCTGCCCGTCGGCCCAGCTGCCAGCGCCTGGCCTTCATGGGGAAGCGCCTGATCTCAGGGTGGTGCAGCTGGCAGGGGGCCCAGGGCAACCCCCACCACCTCGAGGAGCAGGTGGGGGACCCTGGGGGGAGAATCAGCCTGTGCCACCGGGGACAGGAGAGCCTTCCTGTGGACTAGCCACTTGACACACTCTTTCCCGCACGTGTAAGAGAAATAGCCGGTGAGGCAGGGCAGTCCGGCCACTGGGCCAGGGCAACCCGAGTTTGTGGTCCCCAGTGGCCTTGAAGCGGCCCGCCGAGGCTGGTGTGGGAGGGCAGGGGAGGCAGCGGCCCGGAAGGGCCACCAGCTCCTGGGACTCCAGCCAGGCCCCAGTGCGGGGAGTGCCGAGCGCCCTGTTGCCGCTGTCGCACTGGCCAGGGCTTCTGACAGGCGCCCCACCTCCCCCGAGGCACACCTGGGTGCCGAGCCTGCCGGGGAGGGGCAGCCCCTGCGGGTGGCGGGACCCCCAAGGCCGCGGGAGGCCCCCCTCGGAGCGTGCCCTGACCCGCCATCTCTCCTGGGCCGCAGCCAGGAAGGCAGCATGGAAGGGAAAGCCGCCGCCGTGACGCAGGTGGTCTGCCGGGAAGACGAGATGTACGATGGAGAGTGAGTACCCTGGACGGGGGGGCAGGGGGGGCTCTGCAGAAGCCGCGGGAGGCGGCTTGGGGAGGAACGAAGCTTGGGCCCATTTGCCCCTTCCGGGGTTCCGCTCTGGCTGCCCCCAGGAGGTCCCAAGAAGGCTGTGCTAGCGGGGGGGCCGGGCTTTCCGTGTGAACTGCTGGCTGGGCGGCCGCTTGGCCCCCAGCGCCCCCCACTCAGCCCCGCTCCTTCCCGAGGTGCACCGTGGCCTCGAGTCTGGCGCAGGGGAGTCCCTGCACCTCCGCTCGGCCAACCCGTCCTCCGCGCTCCCCAAATCGCACTCCCGCCGGGGCGTACGGCTTCCCGGCTGGCGCTTGCCGGCTCCTTCGGGCGTCAGATTGGCCGGGAGACTGAGCAAGTGAAGCGCTCTGCATGCGGCTGGCTCAGGTCTTTGGCAAGTGCACCCACCTGCTTTGCACGAGAACCGAGCGGTGCAGCGCTCCCGGCTCCTCGGGGTCCGCACGGGTGTGGGGTGTTCCTGGGGGCGAGCCCGAGCCGGAGAGGCCCCCGCCCTGTGGGATGCACAGCCTGCAGGATGAGCGACCCCCTGCCCCGCTTCCCAGCCTTGGCCTCGCCGGAGGGGGCAGAGAAGGGAACCTGTGCGGGGGCTCGGGCTGCCCTCTCTTGACCGCCTCTCTCTCTCTCTCTCTCTCTCCCTCCCCCCCCCCCGGGCCACAGGATGCGGGAGGTGGAGGTTGGGGGCCACCCTGTGCTCCTCCTGCGGGATCACCTCCGGTTCCTGGCGGTGGGGAGCCGATGCCCCCATGCCGGGGCACCGCTCTGCAAAGGTACGGCCCCGTCCCAGGCGGCAGGACTCGCCCACACGCGGGGACAGGTGGGCCCCAGGGCAGGGACCCCCACCAGCCGCCAGGCGAGGCCAGGCCGTTGGGGGCCCGGAAGGCCGCTGGCGGGGCCCCAGGCCTGAATCCCTCCCGTGGGCTCGTGGTCGGGCAGGCTGCTCTCAGGGCCCCTCTCTGCGCTGCCGGGGGAGCCCACAGAGAGCTCCTGGGACTCCGCAGGGTGCCGGGACACCCAGCCTCGGGTCGCCCCCTGCGGGCCAACCCCTCCCCGGCCCCTCCGCTCTCACTGGGGGGGTCTCTCCTTCCGGATGCCAGGGTACTTCAAAGGGGGCCGGCTGCGCTGCCCCTGGCATGGCGCTTGCTTCAGCACCGAGACGGGGGATATCGAGGAATACCCCACACTGGACTGCCTGCCCGCCTTCCAGGTGAGCACCAGCCCCGCCTGTGGGGCGCACAAAGCCACCCGCCCCCCAGACAGAGCTTTCCTTTGGGGCACGAGGCATCCTTGGCCTCCGGAGCAAGGCGCCTCTTGCGACGGCGGGGGGATCCAGCGAGTCGGCCATCCTGCGTGGCCACGTGGGGAGGGGGTCGGGTATCTGAGCCCCCCACAGCACACCTGTGGGGCTCCCTGCTGCCGGGCTGTGGCGGCCCCTCCGCGGAGGGCAAAGCCCAGTTCTCTAATGTGGGGGCTCTTTGCAGGTGGCTGTGAAGGATGGCCAGGTGTACGTCACCGCGGACAAGCAGGTACGGCCCTGGGGCGCAGCACTGGGCTCCCCACCCCCGCTGCCTCCCTCCCCACCCCCGCTGCCTCCCTCCGGGGCACTGCTGAGCCACTGTACCCCTCCTCTGCCCCCCCCCCGGCAGGATCTGGAAAGCGGCCGCCGCGTGAAGCCCATGAGCAAGCGGTGCCAGCTGAACCCGCAGACGGTGCTCCTCCTGGGGGCAGGTGAGTCGCCCCCCCCCGCAGGGGCTGGGAGGGGCAGGGGGCGGCGCCAGGCGGCCAGCTCACCTGTGGCGCTTCCCCCAGGCCCCGCGGCACTCACCTGCGCAGAGACACTCCGCCAGGAGGGCTTCACGGGCCGGGTCATCCTGGCGACGGCAGAGGAGCACCTGCCCTATGACCGGACGAAGCTCAGCAAGGTCCATGCTAGCGGGGAGGCGCGAGGCGGCCTCCCCCACCGAGCCCGTGGGGAGCCACACACAGCCCCCATAAGTGGGTGCCCTGGCTCACAATGGTGGCTTTTCAGTAAAGCAAGCCGGACCGTGTCCCCAGACACGTTGCCCACCTATCCGCCCCATTTTGGGGGAGATGCCCATGGGGGGGCTGCCTGGGAAAGGCTGGGGGGGGCAAAGTCTCCGGGAAGGACTGGGTCTGGGTCATGAGCGGGGGGGAAGTGGCGCTGGTGCACAGCTCAGGACCCCCCCCCCCGCTCTGCCCTCCACCTTGCTCCTTTGTGGCAGCTGCCTCGGAGCCCCCCCGTTTGCTGTGGCTGCCCCCTGCCCTGGGGAGCCTGCTCGGGGGGGGGGGGGGACAACCCTGCCCAGCCTCTGCTGGGACCGCTCCTCCCCTCCTCGGGGCAGAGCTAGCTTCCCGGGCGCTGAGAGCCTCCCTCTCTCTGCCGCCCGCAGGAAATGGATGCCAAGGCCGAGCGCCTGTATCTACGCCCCCGGAGTTTCTTGGATGCTTTCGGCATCGAGGTCTGGATGCGGAAGGAGGTGGGTGGAGGCCGCGGGGCAGGGATGAACAGGGGGGCCTGCCGCCAACCTGAGGGGGGCATCGTTCCAGACTGCCTCAAGAAAAGGGACCCCAACCGATCCGATGGGGGGGTCTTTTTCCCACCCCAGCCCTCCCTGGACCTCTCAGAGCCTGCAGGGAAGCTACGGAGGGCAGGGCAGTCTGGCCCCATGGCCTCAGCCCCCCAGGGGAGGTGGGCAGGACGGCGGCCCCTGCCTGGCCTCACTGGGCCAGGACCGCCCGGGCTCAGGGCAGTGTCCTCCCCGCTTCCCTCAGGTCGTTTCTCTGGACACCCCCGGCAAGACGGCCCACTTCCGCGACGGCACCTGCCAGGCCTACGACCAGCTGCTGATCGCCACAGGCTGCAGGCGAGCTGCTGGGGAGGGGAGGGGAGGGGAGGGGAGGGGGGCTGGTGGTGGCCTCTGCCTGTGCGAAAGGGGGCAGGCCCTGGCTGTGGTGGGGCTGCGGGATTCGCTGCTGGCTGCCCTGCTCCTCACCGGGGCCGAGCAGGGAGGAGACCGGCTCAGGGACAGCCTGGCCAGGAGCTCTCTGGCCTCCCCTCCCCTCCCCGGCCTCGCCATGCTCAGCCGCCCCCCTCGTCCACAGCCCCCGGCAGCTCCAGTGCCCCGGCTCTGCCCTGCAGAACGTGTGTGTCCTCCTCACCCCCGAGGACGCGGGCCGGATCCTGCGGCTGTCCACGGGCAAGAGGGCGGTGATCGTGGGCGCCTCGTTCATCGGTACGGGGCCACGGGCAGCTGGGGAAGTGGCGGGGTGGGACGGGGTGAGAGGCCGAGCTTCCTCTCCCCCCCAGGGGCCAGCTCCGGCCCGGGCCCGAGCCCACAAGTCGGGCTGGTGGAGGGGGAGCCCCTCGCCCCCCTTCGCATCTTCTCTCTCTGCCCCCAGGCATGGAGGTGGCGGCCTCTCTCTCGGGCAGAGCCGCCTCCATCCACGTGGTGGAGAGGGACCCGCTGCCGTACTGCGCGGCTCTGGGGGAGCAGGTCGGCTCCGTGGCCATGAAGGTGAGGAGCCCGCGCTGCCTGGCCAGGGACCGGCCTGCCTGGTCTTGCAAGTGGACCCGAGGGATCCTTGGGCTGGGGAGTGGGGGCCGCCCCAGTAATGCCCCCTTCCTCCCGCCAGATGCTCCAAGCTCAAGGAGTCCAGTTTCACCTGCAGGCGGAGGTGGCCGAGCTGCGAGGCGACGAGAACGGGCAGGTGGGTCTGTGAGCCCCTCCCCGGCAGAGGCCCTGTGGCCCCCCCAGCTGCCGCTCCCCCCAGCAGGCCTGGGCACCGGGTGACCAAAGCGCAGTCAAGGCCCCTTCCCCCTGCAGGTCACGCAGGTCGTCCTGGCCAGCGGATGCAAGATCCCGGCTGACGTCGTGGTGGTGGGGATCGGTGAGCAGCTGGCTTGGAGGGTGGGGGCAAGCCCAGGCCCTCTCCGGGCAGCGGGACGGGGAAAGGGCCGTGGCAGAGGCCCTGGTGCCTGCGGGGGCCCAGGCCCCAGACCTCGCATGCAGCGGGGCCAGTCCAGCACTGGCCTGGCTCGGCAGCGAGGGGGCCGGAAGCCCGAGCGGCTTCTGCAGTCTCCTCTCCTCCCCCCACAGGCGTCACCCCCAACTCCGGCTTCCTGCAAGGTAGCCCCGTGGCGCTCGGCCCTGGCGGGGCTGTCCTGGTGGACCTGGTAGGTGGGGGGGCAAGCGGAGCGGTGGGGGGCAAGCGGGGCAGGGGCAGGGGCCCCCCGCCTCCCCTCCCGTCCCTCTCTGGACCAGCCGCCTCTTCTCCCCACAGGGCATGCGGACCAGCAGCCCGTCGGTCTTCGCGGCCGGGGACGTCACTTCCTTCCCCGTGGCACTGCTTGAAGGGAAGAGCGCCCCCATCCGCCACTGGCAGGTCGCCCAGGCCCACGGTAGCCTCCCTCTTCTCGGTTCTGCAGGGCAGGGCACGCGGCCGTGGACTCCACGCAGCTGCCCTCAGCGCCACGTGCAGCCACGGCTGGGGTCACAAGTGCAGTGGGGGACCAGTGTGCATCTCCTCCGGGGAGGCTTGGCGCCTCGAGGCCTGCAGCCCCCCGCCTGCCCCCTCTGGCCGTGTGGGGCTCCCTGGGCTCTCCCTGGTCAGGGCTGCCAGCGCAGGATTAGGTGCTGGGGCTCTTTTTGGAAGAGTCCAAAGCACAGAAGGGATGAGGCTGGAGGCCACCCCCCGACCGTAAAAGAGTTCAGCAGGCCCACAGCGCCTCTGGGCGAGCCCTGGGTGCCAGGCGAGCTGTCTGCAGGCACCAGGGTGCCCAGGGACCGTGCCGAGCCCCCCAAGCTAGGAGGCGAGGTGAAGACCCCCAGAGCAGCTCGGGGCCTCTGCAGGGGAAAGGCTGCATGTCAGGCTCGGGGCGGGCGGGGGGCCAGTGCCACCCACCGTCCCCGTCCTCTCTGCCAGGCCACGTGGCCGCCCTGAGCATCCTGCAGAAGCCCCGGGAGCTGCACACCGTGCCGTATTTCTGGACCAAGCTGCGAGGGAAGAGCATCCGATACGCAGGTGAGGGGCCACGAATGGCAGGAGCAGCACGTGGCGATGGCAGCCCCCCGGCCCTTCCGCACGGCGAGTGAGGGGGGCAGGTGGACATCATTCCCGCTGCTGGCCAAGGTGCAGGCAAGGCCTTGGTCCCCGCAAGGAACGGGGCTGCTGCCAGCCCAGCCCTCTCCATGCTTCGGAGGAAAAGCAACCTCGTGCCCTCTTAGGGCCCCTCTGCGGGGCTCAGCACTGCCTTCCCTGAAGCCCACTGCCCCGGACTGGTGGCCCACTGGTCAGCCATGCTGGGGCTTCCTGCCCAGTCCCCCTGCCTTGGCCAGGTTGGTGCCTTGCTGCGGGCCAGACACTCGCTCTCGCCTCACAGGCTGCGGGATCGGCTACACGGAGACAGTGCTGAAGGGGGACCTGGACCAGGAGAGGTTCCTCCTCTTCTACGTGAGGTGAGGCACGGCCGTGCTCAGAGCAGGGGGGGGCTGCGAGCCCATCCTGGAGGCAGAGCCCTGAAGGGAAGGGAAGGCACCTGGGCAGGGGGGCCAGGCCGTTCAGGTGAGCTGAGCAGGATGAGGGCCGAAGGGGGTCTCTGGTCCTACAGCGGCCGGCTGGGTATCCTGGGCGGAGGTCCACACACCAGCCTGCGGCGCAGCTCCAGCGCTTCCCGGCTTCCACAATCGCTGGTGCCGGGGGGTTCCGTTAACAAAAGGGGCCCGGGAGTCGGAGCAAGTGACCCAGGGCAGGCTGCAGCAGCAGCCCGGCTGGCGCCCTCGGCTCCGCTTCCGCACTCGGCTCTCTCCTTCGCACAGGGACGGCACCGTGACGGCGGCCGCAAGCCTCAACTTCGACCCCATGGTGTCCGTGGTGGCCGAAGCCCTGTACGCCGGGAGGCCCATCCGCAAGGAGGAGGCAGAGTGAGTAGCCCCTTGCCAGGTGTGCGTGGCCAGCCACGCGGCCGGCTCCCGGGGCAAGCGCTGGAGCCAGCTGCCTCGGCGTGCGCGACCCCATGCCACGATTTCCTTGCAGGGCGATGGTGGAGAAGGAGCGGCCGAAGACCTGCTAAGCCACAGCAGGGAAATAAGTAAATTCTTCCTTGCGGAAATAAAGCAGAGTGAAGCAGAAATGGTCCGGGCTGTTTTTTCCCCACGGAGCACGATGCCGAGCGGGCAGGGAAGGGCCGGCTGGGCTCCGGGGCGAGTGCTGCCCAGAGTGGCAGCCCTGACGGCCAGTCCGGTTTCTCCCTTTGCCTAGACGTTTCCGAGGACCTGTCGACTCCTAGGGTCAGGAACGGAAACGCTTGGGAAACGTCTTCTGATCTTTTGAAGATCTTAGTTTGGAAAGTGCCTTTGAAAAGCCCGGGTCGCCCTCTGTACAGACAGACTGAGGGTGATGGGAAAACCAGCCAAGTCGGGATCCTTGGCTATTCACAGGCCAATCAGCAGAGGGCGCCACTCACAAGGACCAGAAGAGGGCCGTGGCCCAGACAGCAAGTTCCTTCCAGGTCCTGGGTCTGATCCTGCTGTCTCCGGGTAAGACAGCGAAAGGCCCCACCTGAAACCCCTGCTGAGCAGCTGCTGAGTCAGCAGAATGCCAGTTGGGTGACCCCGGCCAAAAACCCCTCCTGGCTGCTCCCTTCCCCAAAATACCCTCAGTACAGCATAACCATCAGCGAGTGGTTCCAACCAAAGCCAGTATATTGGCATTTTTGCAGGCGTATTCCAGTGAGTGAGACTTGATTTACTGGCCGCGCCCCCAACTTTGGGCTCGGCGTTCCCATGGAGCAGAAAACGCAGATTTGCCAGCTGTGAAGCTTGGCTACCCAGAGGAGTCTGCAGTTCCACACATTGCCAGAAGAGGGCGCCCTCATCTCGGCTGTCACTCAGCCCTGACTATATTGGGCTCACCTTGTGCACTTCAACCCCCCCCACTCCTAATTTGGCAGAGGTCACTTGGGGACAATGTAGAAAGAAGGACACAATGGCATCCGCTCTGCACAGGAGCTGAGGTGGCGCCTACCTGCCTTCCCCTACCCACACCCAGGTAGGTGTGGAAGCGAGTCCTGCCCAAGACCCCAAACAGGCAGCAGGTAGCTCCCCAGGATCTCTGTGGAGGCTTGGGGGGTGCTCTCCTTACAGCACCGGTTTTCTAGAAAGGCTTAACACAAGCAAGAGGCCACTGCGAAAGGGCTCACCAGAAGCGGAGCTGACTGGGGGCCTGAGGGAGCCGCCCCCAGCCTGGAGCTCCCAGAGCCGAGGCCAGCTGGGCATCGTCCGGCAATTCTGGGGGGCTCCAGGGAAAGGGAGGCTGTTCCGGGGTAAGCGCAGCCATTCTCACACCCGTCCCCAAGAAGCCCCCCTCACGGCAGTGGGCCTGAGCCCTTGGCTTTGACACCCAGGGGGGAAGGACAGAGGCTGCCCACCGCTTCAGCCTGGCCATCTCCTGCTCCCCACCTGCAGCACGTTCGGGGTGGGGGTTGTCCCGCTCCAGCCAATGGTCCAGGGAGAAGAGGCCAGCACCCAGCAGGGCCAGATCCCAGCCCACGGTGCTAAGCACTCAGCAAGGGTTCCCAAATGTGGGGCCAGTTGGAATCCCCCTCCCAGGATTCACGCCCCTTTGCTCCAGAGGCTGCAGAAGTCCCCCCCCAGGGCTCCACAGGCTCCCTTTCCCAGGAGCGGTGCTGAAGCCTTGCCAACGTGGGTCCCAGAGAGCAGACGGTCACGCCATGGGCCGGAGCGCCCCATTCTGGAGGCCTGGCTTGGGGCAGGGGGCATGTGGCCTTGCGGTGGCCCCCTGGGTGTCACGGCTGGGGGCACTGGGGCTCGGCCGCCCTGGGGCCTGGGGCTCAAGCCCACCGATGATCTCACAGCGGATGCTCCAGGAGCTGGGACCGTCCTGCCCCCCAGAAGTCGCCGCACAGCGGCAGCACCCAACTTACCCATCCGGCGCGCGGGTGTCCTCCCTCCGGGGGGGCGTCCGAGGCCCTCGGGGCAGACAGCGGCTACGGCCAACAGTTCTTCAACTGGCAGCTTTAGCTGCTCGAGGGGACGTAAAGCATGCCACTGAAGAACTGCTGCGGGTAGCCCGAGGCAGGGCCGCTGGGCGAGCTGCGGAGAAGCAGAAGCAGGCAGGCGTGAGGAGCGGCGGCGGCGAGGGGGCGCCCCCCGCCCAGCGGCGGCCCGCCCGCCCGCTCCCCCTCCCGACGCCACGGGTCCCGGGCAAGCCCTCTGCCCGTCGGGCCACGGGCCGGAGGCACCGGCGCTTCCGCCAGAGGCCGAGGGCCATGAGTCATCGCTGCCGCTCGGGAGAGGCGCCCCAGGCGCGAGGTGGCGCGCCGGCCCCGCGGCTCCCCTCCGCGGCCTGAAGGCGCCCCTGGCCAGGTCGGGGCGCGGGCTCGGGCACCGGCCAGCCCCGCACGGCGCGAGTCGCGCCCGCCCGCCCGCCGCCCGCACTTACCGCGCCGCGCATTCCGCGCGAGCGCCCGCGTTCTCC